CACCAGCCAAAACTCCTATCACCAGCCACTATCTACGTAACATTCTATTTTGTCCCATGTTCCTTTTGCAGTTTGTTTAATCCCTGCATTTATAGTGCCCTTTAGATACCTGAAAATACGTTTCAGAGCTGTCTGTAACTTTCATCCTGCAAATTCAAGACAACATCATTATTTCTGATGAAACCCACTGAAAATATATATAAAAGTAAATTGCTATAACACTATGTTTAAACAAAAGATCTGCACAGGTTACTGTTAATCACTATTAATTGAATCTAGCTTATCACCCTCTTTTTGGGGAAAAAAACCCTGGGATTGCATTTGTCCGACCAAAAATATCAAAGAGCAACTTCAGAGTAGCCTGTAATGTTTCACTAGCAGACATAATCTTATTTGTTTGCTTTTAAAAATTACATTTAGAAAAGGAAATCAGTTTGCACCACTGACATTCTGCCAAATTCCTGTTTATAAACACATCAGGCAATGTCAGGAGCAAAAGCAAAATCCGTATATGACTTCAATATTATCAGCTCAAAATATAAATAAAAAGCTGGCCATTCAGTTTAATTCCCTGCTTGGCAGCCTTCATCTAGCAGGATGCTATGCAGTTATCCTACCGTGGCATATAGTAAATGACCCTAATTGTGCTGTACACATTTAGTATCACTGAAATTTCATTGGAACATAAGAAGTGCTTTGTGCAGAACACTATCTGAATGATGATCTCAGACATCTGATTGTTTGTGAAATAAATAACCTTTATATGGCTTCTCCTCTTAAAGCTTGAAAAATGGTTTTATTAGAATCTTTCAAGGCAGCATATATTTTCCCTAAGGTAATATATTTTTATAGATGAATCTAATGGTTCTGGACACTAGGTTTCATGCATTTTTAAAAAGTTTCTCCTTCCAATTAGAAGTTATTTAAAAAAGAAAGCACATACACTCAGCGCAAGAGAAAATAATGTATCTGCTGTTACATCTGGCATACATTGCACGTCAAGAAAGCAATCTGCACAGATACTCAAAAAGAAGATGGATGGAGAGATAGATGGATCTGGAAAACAGGAGGCATCTTTCATTATTCATTTCTGTTGATAATTAGAGGGCACCACTAATTAGATCATGTCAAAGAAATTAAGATAAAAGAGGAAAAACACTAAATCTATTGCATTTTTGAGCAGGCCATCACATCAGAGGAGTTAGTGAAGTTTACACGAATTGCTTGCTGGAGATGAAATGAAAAAGCTCTTTTAGACCACAAAGAAATTAAGGCTATGAGACTTTATTCTAGAAAGCACTGCAAGTCTTCTGTTGGTATGTCATTAGCAGCTGTTACACACACACACTTCTCCAAGAGCTTTCGGAAGGGATACATTCTGTGACATGATGGAATTTCCGCCAGTTTTCCTTGTTTTCTGGAGTTAGAAAGGCTATGGGTGGAAATGGATATGTTTTGTTTGCAGAGGCTTAATATATCCATTTGCATCTTATTCTTGGGGTGGGGAAGATCCAAAACATTCCACTGTTCAAAGTAGGGCATTTTGCTGTCACATTTCAACAGTATGTTCCACAAATGATCTAAAGGCTGAGGGCTACATGGTATCCACAGATCATAGCTTGCTCACTTCTGCACTGGACCAAGAGTCAAATGCAAATGATAATGAGACCAGAAATACAGGCATCTTTTTTTTATGAGCTAATGACATAGTTTTTCCTATTCAGACTATGCTGCATTTATTAACTGATTGGTTTATAAATCATATTTATATAGCCACCCATCTCACAACGTGACTCTGGATGGTGTACAATAAAGCCATAAAATAACAATATTTGCAGGATGATCAAATAGTGATGGCTGTTGTATGATGACCCTCCCTTTGGGAAGATACTAAGTTCCCAAAATTATGACTAAGTTAATAGAAGAGTGTTGTCTGGGGTTTTATTATTGAGTCTGGCAGATGAAGGTAAAAAGGAAGCTTAGGAGACTCTCATGTTTATATATTGTCTATTATTATAGTAGAGCAAAGTGCCTGCACTGGAATAAGATAAAATAAAATAAAATAGGATTGTGTCAGGATTTACAACACTGGCACTGAAGTTCAATCCTGAGAATTAGTTGTATACAGCAGAGACAGATGAAAAATAGGAAGATTGTTTTTTTGGAGTTTTGTCAAATTATGCTGCTACAATTTGGGTATCAGAAATCTGACAAAGGTGTTGTGTGTCAGATGCAATTTCCATAAATATGATGCCTCTCATGAAAGTGTTCACACTAGTCTTGTCAGAGTAGTAACAGCTCATCAAAGGGACATGCTTTTCAGAATGGTCAGAGGGTATCTCTGGAGCTGGGCACAAACAGCATTTTTCATTCTCCATCAAACCTGTGGGCTGAGAAAGTGGGTGGACAAATTTTCTGAATTTGTCCTGAAGAAGAGAACATTTCCAACATTTGCTCAAGAGCTAGACTAGAGCTGCAACAGCAACAGTAGTACCACTGTTGAAAAAGCTCAGTGAGAGCAGGAAGTCTAAATATTGGAGAGATGCTTATGGAATGAAAGGCAGTACACTCACACAAGCTCCTTAGCCATTTTGTAATGAAATAAGTCCAAGGACACCTATCCTTCATCTATGAAGGTTTCACAAAAATTCTGTTTTGAAATAATTTCTAGAACAGATTCTCCTCTTTCATAAAATTAAATGAAAAATGGTAGGAAACATGCAGAGGAATTTCTGTGCCCAGCATCTGCCCTTGCTGGGTCAGGCCAGAGGTCAAAGCATGACTCCTAGATACAAACATTGTTCCTGTCCTTTGTGAGACATAATATGTTACACAGGGCCATACAAAGTTTAATTTTTAAAATATATTACCAGTAAACCTATTAATAAAATGCTTTTAGAGCTCTGATTTTTCTCCCCCCCTACAATTCAGAGATCAGATTGTTGAAAAGATGTTGAACCACTCTCAAAACTGCTGATTCTTCCCTGGAATATAACAAGGGCAACACAGTAGTGGGATTCTATTTCACCCTTGAGACAATGTCTTAACAGGTGAAAATATACCCCTGTTGCAATAGGACTTGTCCACATAGCATATTCTGCAGGACACTGATGCTAAGGAGTCATTGACTTATGATGGCCCTACCAGAACATAAAGAAGACGAAAAAATAAAAAACCAAACTTCAGCCCACTCACCCTCTGCAAATAATATAGTTGTGACCTATAGAAACAATTTAACCGGAAATATTTATGTTAACATTGTGCCAAAATCTCCCTTGCAATTCCTCAAGATGTTTTTCCTTAATTTTCCCATTGATGGAGCAAGTGGCTTCTGTTCTTATAGGTTATTCTCAGGATGCTTGAAAAATGCCTTTTGATTTTTTTAATGGTGTTTTTGAACTTATTTTTTTGATTGGAGGTTCTCTAGGGTTCTAGTTTTGGTGTTCTGTTACACAGCTTTCCACTCTGAAGCTTCTTTGGCTTCCTTCATTTCCCAGTCTGAAAAAGTCCCATGGAAGCCAGGGAAAGTGTGATCTCTAGAGAAATAATTGTAGAATGAATAGCAGAATATTCACACACAGATACACACCTTGGCCACTTCATAGCTAAATAAATCCAATAACACCACACTCCACCCATAAGAATTTTAGCAAAATTCTCTTTTCCTTTGAAAAAAATATGTTAGAAGCAAATGCCCTTTTATCACTTTGAGAGCTAGTAAGGAAAAAAAAAATTCAAGAGCCAGTTTGATATAGTGGTTGAGGCACCAGATTAGAAGTCAGGAGACTATGAGTTCTAGTTCCACTTTAAGCATGAAGGAAGCTGGGTGTCATAGGCCAGTTATTCTCTCTTAGCCCTAGGAACGGCAAACCACTTTTAAAATCTTGCCAAGAAAATTGCAGGGACTAGTCCAAGCAGTTGCAAGGAGTCATCACTGACTTAAAGGCAAAAAAAGAAAAAATAATGGAAGTTTTCCTGCGCTGCATTAATTTATTTAGTATTATAGTTAATGTGTCTATGCATGTGCATGTATTTATAAAGATATATAAATCACAAACATTAAATGTATTTTTTCTGGGTCAAAGAATTACAATTAATTGGAATATTTCAGTGGAGCATTATGTCCCATAAAAGTAAGCATCAAGTCCTATGAAAGTATTTGTGACAAAGTGTAAATCTCAATATGTCAGACAGTTGATAGCTATTATTAAGCTGCATATGCGTCTCTTACTAGTGTTGTGACCTTTGCTTCTCCCCTTCCTCCCCCCTGCCAAATTTTGGCTTTCTTTATTAACTGAAACTCTATGAAAAGTAAACACTAGCTTTGTTCACATATTTCTTATGTATTTAGCACATGCTTGCACCTACCATACCAAATCTTTGCACAGTCAGCCATTGTGGATGGAAACCTATGGATGTACAATTTTATGTCTCTAAACCTTATATCTGCAAACAAGAGTCTTATTTTTTAATATGCTTCGTTTTGTTAGCCTTAAGTTTGAAATATTCAAATCTATCTGTTCTTCCTCTGAACTAAGACTGTATATATCTGAAGTTTTATTTTATTCACTAGTAAATGTTACTGTTAGCACAATGATAAAAAAGCAAAAAGCTGAGTCAAATAATACCCTTCTAGCACAATGAGGTTTACTGCCAAGAATATTATTGTAAATCAATGTGTCTTACACCAACTCTGGGAAATCATTTTCAAATGAAATATGAATCGAACACAAGCAAATGGTTAGGTACAAAATGTCTGCATTAGAAATCATGACTCAGATGTGCAGAAGAATGATGGTTCAACTTCTAGGTATTTTCAGTTTGTACTGCACTGTAAAAGCAAACAAATATTTGTCATTTCTTTAGACGTGTTTAGAATAAGATCCACTGATACGCTGTTTGCATGTGTATATTGTGAGACTTCCAATCTGCAGTTTTAGTTATAAGGAAAATCTAAACAAATCTAGTATTCCATTTGCTTTCTCTCTCCCTTTTCACAGAATCTTCCAATGCATAACAGTGTGGGAGGAGCAATGACAGCACCAGGGGCGCACCAGCTCTCTAATCCCAGGATGCCAAACCATGACACCAGCATTGTGATTCAACAAGCCATGCCATCACCGCAATCGAGTTCAGTCATAACACAAGCACCTTCCACGAATCGGCAAATTGGGTAAGTGCATCCTCAGTAGTTTTAGGTGGAGACAAACTATTTCACCTAATGTTTGCCCTGGTAAAGTAGGAGAGGTGGATACTTTGCTTGTATCGCTGCCTTTACAGAGTATGATGCCAGGTATGGAGGCTGAATGTTATCTTTTATAATATCTTTTATAACTTAAATATATATGTATTTCTAACAGAGCAGGAATGTTCTGTGCCATTGTTGCTGAATTATTACATTTTACAGAATGTAGGTAGGATGCTTTGGTTTATAATATAAAACCTTGATTGTTTATGTATGTGTTTGTGTGGGTGTACATATGTATGTGTGGAGGGATGCATGTATAAACTTCTTCTGCTGATCAAACAACCACAATATATTTTACTGACCTGTATACTAAGCTTTGATTAGATGTACACCATTGGCCTAGATTATCCTTCCTAAACTAGTGCCTGCCATATGCATGGAACTATTGCTCCAGGAATTTCTCTGCTCACAAATTTGATACAGATATTACTTTGGTAATTTGGAAATTGATACCGGTCATTTTCTGCTGCTGTTCTTCAGTTGTAGAACCCTCCTGCCTCTGGAGGTCAGATTAACGACTCGTTACAGTGCTTTTAGATGAGCATAATAGATGTTCTGTTGAGCTTTTATTTGTTTCCAATGTCATTTTCTGATTTTATTGTGATTAATGCTACTGTTATGTACATACATATTCATTACAATATTCCCTTTCAAGGTAAGCAACATTATGCAAACCACAGAAAATGAGTAAGAAATAGTAAACCAAAGGAATTAAAGGCATGATATAAAAAAAAAGAAATATAGCTAGATCTAGATTATACCAACACTTTTCTCCATACCTCACAATACCTCATAAATCACCCTTGCTTCTCCCATGTCCATATACTGCTTCATCATTTATTATTTTTTTTGTTCTTTAAACCTCCCATATCACTTTTTGAGTATCTCAAGCCACCATGTTCTTGGTAAACCCCTTCCTCCTGCTCCCTTCACTCTTCATATATTTGTTTTACAATTTGACCTCATTCATTCTCTCTATATAATCAAACGACCTTAATGTATTTTGTACTGGTTACTCACATTTGTATTTAATCAACATTCCTTTAGCACCCATTCATTCTTGACCCTACCTCTTTTTCTTTTACTGCATACCCTTCTTAAATATACATTCTTACTACAGTCAACATTTATATTTCCCTGATATACTTCAATACAATAACATGGACAAAAGCACCCTCTAATATATGGCTCTTTGTGCTTCTTTTAACAAAACATTTATTCTTCACAATAGAACATATCGTATTCACTGCATTTCAACCAGCATTTGTAGGTTTTAAAATGTGCCCATCCATTTCCCCATCTTTAGTAAACATTCTATCAAGGTGCACAAATTCATCTTCTTGTTTTTCACCGTTTATGTATACCCGGCAAATTCACTCCATTTTCCCTGTCAAACACCTTGATTGTTGATAGATTATTTTTCAGAGCATACTCCACATTGCATCATGCAATTTATTTAACATTCACCATAAATAATTTGGGTTCTCAGCCAACACCATGACATCATCTGCATACAAAAGTATATACACATTCACATTCCCAACCAACATTCCTAACCCAAGCAACCGACTTCTCATGTTATCACAAGTATTCATTATACATTTATGCTTAAGTACATTAAACAGCTAAGGGGATGTCCTAGTCTTACTTTCTGAACTATTTTCTAAGCATTCCATTCATTCCCACATACGCTGTTAGAAGCATTTGCAGGATCCAGTGTCTTCATCACAATGATGAAGCAAGCACCACATATTTTGTACACGTATCACAATGCATTTACAAAAGGGGGGAAGCTTGTGCAGAAGTGCTGATAGCATACAAATCACCCGTGTCCAGAATTCTACTGAGTGCCCCTCAGCATTTTTATTATTCAAAATGTATTAAATATAATTATAAAACAGAAATTATTTACAAAAGATCAAAGTCAAAAATAACTTGAGTTACAGTACTCACCAGACAGTGAACAGAATACTCTGGACTTCCAGTGTTCCTTCCATGAACTATTGGGACACCACAGGTCATAATGTTGCACATATTATCACAGTTCGATGAAGTGTGTTTCACCAGTGATGCTGATGATTCTTCATGTGTATCCAGTGGTGCGATGGCCTGCTGGGTCACAGGTATAGGTTCTGTTTTTGGTCTTGGTGGCCAAGTGTGCATGTGCAAATTGACAAGCCTGTGTTGTTGATATTGTATTTCCTTCTCTTTCTTCGACAGTCTTTTTCTATATAACTCTTCCACATGGCATGACTGGACACTGACCAGACAGTTACTGTTAAAAGTATATGTATATAATGAATTGAATGTTATTAAAATATATAGGGTATATATGCATACTGTACATATATGTAGAAATCTGTTGAATGGGTCAGTCATTAAAGTATCGGATACATTCCTCTTCTATTGCTCTGAAGATGTTGAGTGGAAAATGCATTTATATTTCACCTGAATTGTGATTTTTTAAAAATTAATTTTTTATTTAATATCTTTATTTTTAACAAGACAATTTTCAATCGTACAAAAAAAGAAACTTAACAAAATTAAAAACACAAACTAAAGATACAAACTAAGAAGGAAAAAAAATCTATCTTAAATTTTATACTCATCAAAGGTCACTGGTTTACCAATGAATTCACTATTGTAATATAAACAATACAAAATATTATTGTAAGATATCACACAATCTCTGCCATAATAACACATAATGCTGCATCCTTTGATTGGTGGGAAATATTGCCTTTTCCAAAACCGATAGATCACACTTTTCTGACAATTTTGTTTTTTCTTGCAAGTAGTATCTCCCTTCATGCAGCACTCTTTTGTGGCACACAATTTGCACACCGGGATGCAGTGACCCTGAGCTTGTGTTGTGACAATGCAAAGCTGCTTTTGTAACTTGTTCTGCTAGCTGCATACCCAATTTCTCTCAATCACCATTCTTACCACATTCAGTAGCCAACCTCCAACTTCATATATGCATAGAGTATTCCATCATTCAAGTCTACTCACTTTATCATATGCTTTTTCTAGATCAGCAAATGTACAATACGTTTTCTTTCCCACATTCATATATTTCTCAATGGATGCCACTGCTTTTTGTTGTTTTTGTTGTTGTTGTTGTTGTTAGGGTTACGTTATGATTTTATAAAGTTGAATGATTATATGGCCTGAGCAGTCACTTGATTGGTGATCCATAAAAATCTCAGGGGAATACACGTGTGTCAAGTCTCAATGTCTTCTGTATCTTTTTTTGTATATCTAGGCATTCAGTCTTGGTTTTCACATAATGCTTTTGGGATAGAAATTTCCCTTTACAACCCTTACCGTAACTGAACAAGCTTTCTTGGGAAAGTCAAACTCCACAACCAAAAGAATTTCATTTTAATCCTTTTATGCATGTTTTCAACATTCGTAAGCACAAAAAGCTATTTTAGAACATTTGCATTTAGAATTTCAGGTTTGTATTTTAATGTAGTGTAAGATTAGTTATGGTGGGGTATTGTTTGGCATATAACTAATTAGAAGAATGTAATACTTTGGGAAGATTTTTTTTTTTAAAATGTTACACTCATGAACAGCCCTGCAAAAATATGCCTGATCATGAACTCTAAACTTTTTAGCAGCCTTGTCATGGCCTTAGCGTATTTACGGTGGGAGCAGAATCAGGCCTGGAAGGCTACAGAGAACCCCACTTTAGCGGCATTCTGATTTTAATCACAACTGTAGATAGCTAAGTGTCAAAATATGGCTCAGCCACCTGCAAATGTTTGCGCTGGCTGCAGTCCAACAAAAACAACAAATGGCAAGATAAAGTTTCATTTAGGCTGTTGCATTCAGTCTTTACTTCTGCAAAAGGCTGGGATTCAACTGAAGGATGTGTATTTCATTCTATGAAACAGAACTAGGTGTGCTTGGAGAGGCTGTAATTTTTCTTTCCATATTTTCCTACTGTTGTCTTAAAAAAAAAAAGAAGGTGGCTGCATAAAAATAAAGAAGTCCTAAATAAAGGTTAACAGTTTTTGGGAGTAGATTGTAATGGTATATGGAAAAGACCTTGAGAAACTGGGCAAAGAGATGCTGCCAAGGGAATGGCCAGATAAGAGACAAAGAAACCTGCAACTGGATAGCAGAATTCCTTGAGGATTGGAGGCCATTCTTGAAATTCCTTGCAAGACTGATGTCAGCCTCACAGGGTAAACCAGATAGGAATCACAGCCAGATGAGCTAATCCTACTTTATTGTAAAGCTACAATGACAGAATCTTGCAAGTCTGAAAGTACAGTTCTCTGCCCCCATCTCCTTTACAGCCCAAGAAGCTAGAGAGGGTCTCTTCTGAGCCTGTTGCCCTGACTGCTATCCAGTTGTGAGCTATGCTGTCTCTTATCTGACCATTCCCTTGGCAGTGTCTCTTGGCCCAGTCTCCCAAGGTCTTTCCCACATACCATTACATAGATTGATGGCAACATACATGTTTTTCAGATGTTCTGGGGTTCAGCTAGTGCTGAAAGTCCAGGGCCCCAGACCTAGGGCTGGGAGATGAGAAGGTATCACCTAAAGACTGGCAAATGATTTGGGAACCAGCAAAGAACATCAGTATGTGAGACAAAATGCATTACCCCAGAAACAACTCTAGAAACAAGCTATTCTAAATTAATAGTATTAATAAGAGATAATATTGTTTTTTAAATTTGTCTCCTTATGGCAACCCTTCTTGGATTACCAAGGGGGGGGGGACGAAAGTGTGTGGGGGGGACGAAAGTGTTGATTGTGGGTTTTAATAATTAAGTGGTTTGTGTTGATAGAAATAATGTGAATTTGGATTAACTAGTGTTAAGAGATTAATATTTTTTAAATTTGTATTTATATCTGTATGGGAGATAGTCAGAAGTCGCTTTCCGTTCTATTCTATCTATCTTTACTATTTTAGTTTTAGGTTTTTTTCTTTTAGTTCTATTTTCTATCTTTACTGTATTCTCTTTTTTGTTTTTAATTGTATTTTTAATATAATATAATAAAGTTCTTATAAAGAAAAAAAAATAGAAACAAGCTGTTCTATCATTTCAGTAATAGACAAGGAGAAATATCTCCCATTATTGGTGGGTGTTCTTGTTTACAAAACAGGTACAGAGTGCAAGGTAAGGCATCATTTGATTATATGTTCCAAAAAAGTGTTTGTGTGCATGCATCTTTGCATATCTATGTTTATGTGTTTTTTAATATAATTTTTATTAGAATTTTAATTACAATAGTAAAAACTAATACAAACTTTCTCTTAGAGAAAGAGAAGAGAATGGAAAGAAAGAATAAAAAGTGCAGGAAAAAAGAAAAAGAGAGAATATAATAAAGAAAAAGAAAAGAAAG